TGTGCAAATAAACCAGAAAATCTAGAAGAAATTGATAAATTCCTGGACACTTATACCCTCCCAAGTCTAAACCAGGAAGAAGTCGAATCCCTGAATAGACTAATAACAAGGTCTGAAATTGAGGCAGCTATTGATAGATTAACAACTAAAAAAGTTCAGGACAAGATGGTTTCACAGCTGAATTCTACCAGAGGTATGAAGGTGAGCTGGAACCATTCCTTCTGAAACTATTCCAAACAATAAAAAAAAGAGGGACTCCTCCCTAACTCATTTTGTGATGCCAACATCATCCTGATACCAAAACCTGACAGAGACACAACTAAAAAAGACAATTTTAGACCAATATATCTGATGAACATAGTGCAAAAATCCTCAATCAAATACTGGCAAACCGAATCTAACAGCTCATCAAAAAGCTTATCCATCATGATCAATCAGCTTCATCCCTGGGATGCAAGGCTGGTTCAACACATGCAAATCAATAAATGTAATCCATCACATAAACAGAACCAAAGACAAAAACCATATGATTATCTCAATAGATTGCTGAGAAGATTTCTGACAAAATTCTACAGTCCTTAATGCTAAAAATTCTTAATAAACTAGGTATTGATGAAACACATCTCAAAATAATAAGAGCTATTTATGAAAAACCCACAGCCAATATCATACTAAATGGGCAAAAACTGGAAGCATTCCCTTTGAAAACTAGCACAAGACAAGGTTGCCCTCTCTCACCACTCATATTCAACATAGTATTGGAAGTTCTGGCCAAGACAAACAGGCAAGAAATAAAAATAAAGGTATTCGGTTAGGAAAAGAGGAAGTCAAATTATCTCTATTTGCAGATGACATGATTGTATATTTAGAAGAACCCATCATCTTAGCCCAAAATCTTTACTGAAGAAGCTGATAAGAAACTGCAGTAAAGTCTCAGGATACAAAAATCAATGTGCAAAAATCACAAGCATTTTTATACACCATAACTGACAAACAGCCAAATTATGAATGAACTCCCATTCACAATTGTTATAAAGAGAATAAAATACCTAGGAATACAACTTACAAGGGATGTAAAGGACCTCTCCAAGGAAAACTACAAACCACTGCTCAAAAAAATAAGAAAGGACACAAACAAATGGAAAAACATTCCATGCTCATGCTTAAGAAGAATCAATATTGTGAAAATAGCCATACTGCTCCAAGTAATTTATAGATTCAATGTAGTCCCCAACAAGCTGCACTGACTTTCTTTACAGAATTGGAAAAAACACCTTAATTTTTGTATGGAATTAAAAAAGAGCCCACATAGCCAAGACAATCCTAAGCAAACAAAACAAAGCTGGAGGCATCATGCTATCTAACTTCAAACTATACTATAAGGCTACAGTAATCAAAACAGCATGGTACTGGTACCAAAACAGAGATATAGACTAATGAACAGAACAGAGGCCACAGAAGTAACACCACACCCCCATACAACGAGCTGATTTTTGACAAACCTGACAAAAACAAGCAATGGGGAAAGGATTCCCTATTTAATAAATGGTGTTGGGAAAACTGGCTAGCCATATGTAGAAAGCTGAAACTGGATCCCTTTTATATACCTTATTCAAAAATTAACTCAAAATTGATTAATGATTTAAACATAAAACCTAAAACCAGAAAAACTCTAGAAAAAAACCTAGGCAATACCATTCAGGACATAGGTGTAGGCAAGGACTTTATGACTAAAACACCAAAAGCAATGTCAACAAAAGCCAAAATAAACAAATGGGATCTAATTAAACTTAAGAGCTTCTGCACAGCAGAAGAAACTATCATCAGAATGAACAGACAACCTACTGAATGGGAGAAACTTTTTGCAATCTACCAATCTGACAAAGGGCTAACATCCAGAATCTACAAAGAACTTAAATCTACACGAAAAAAACCACCCCATCAAAAAGTGGGCAAAGGATATGAACAGACACTTCTCAAAAGAAGACATTTATGCAACCAACAAACATATGAAAAGAAAGCTCATCATCACTGTTCATCAGAGCAATGCAAATCAAAGCCGCAATGAGATGCCATTTCATGCTGGAGAGGATGTGGAGAAATAGGAACGCTTTTACACTGTTGGTAGGAGTATAAATTAGTTCATCCATTGTGGAAGACAGTGTGGTGATTCCTCAAGGATCTAGAACCAGAAATACCATTTGATCCAGCAATCCCATTACTGGGTATGTACCCAAAGGATTATAAATCATTCTGTTATAAAGACACATGCACACATATGTTTATTGCAGCACTGTTCACAATAGCAAAGGCTTGGAACCAACCCAAATGCCCATCAATGATAGACTGGATAAAGAAAATGTGGCATATATATCTCATGGAATACTATGCAGCCATAAAAAGGGGATGAGTTCATGTCCTTTGCAGGGACATGGATGAAGCTAGAAACCATCATTCTCAGCAAAGTAACACAAGAACAGAAAACCAAACATTGCATATTGTCCCTCATAAGGAAGACTTGAACAATGAGAGCACATGGACGCAGGGAGGAGAATGTCACACACGGGGACCTGTTGGGGGGTGGGAGGCTAGGGGAGGGACAGCATTAGGAGAAATACCTAACATAGATAACAGGGTGGTGGATGCAGCAAACCACTGTGGCACATGTATAGCTATGTAAGAAACCTGCACTTTCTGCTCATGTACCCAGAACTTAAAGTTTAATAACAATAACAAAAGAAGCTGTCTCCATAACACAGAAGTACAAGGTGAAGCAGCAAGCACTGATGTAGAAGTTGCAGTAAGTTATCCAGAAGATCTAGCTAAGATAACTGATGATGGCAGGAAAACTACATCACAGATTTTTAATGCAGACAAAACAGACTTACTAGAAGATACCATCTATGTCTTTCATAGCTGAGAGAAGCCTTTTCCTGGTTTCAAAGTTTCAGAGGACCGACTGACTAGCTTTTCAGGGACTAATCCAGCTGCTGATATTTAAGTTGAAGTTAATGCTTAATCTGAGAATCCTAGGGCACTTCAGGATGATGCTAAATCTACTCCACCTGTGCTCCATCAATGGTACAACAAAGCTTGGATGACAGAACATGTTTGCAGCATGGTTTCCCACATATTTTTAAGCTAACTGTTGAGACCTACTGCTCAAAAAAGGGATTCACTTCAAAATATTACTCTTCGTTAACACTGCACCTGACCACTCAAGAACTCTGATGGAGATATACAAAGAGATTAATTTTTTTATGCATGATAACATACCATCCAGCCCATGGATCAAGGGGGCTTTTTGACTTTGTAGATCCATTATTTAAAAAAAACATTTCATGAGTTTATAGCTTCTATAGATATTGGTTCAAACCCTAATGGATGACTTTAAGGGATTCGAGAACTCAGTGGAGGAAATAACTGCAGGTGTGGAAGTAGCAAGAGAACTAGAATAAGGAGTAGAGGCTACGGAACTGCTGCAATCTCATCCTAATACTCGAATAGACAAAACAGTGTTTTTTTTATGGAAGAGCAAAGTGCTTTCTTCAGCTAGAACATACTCCTGGTGAGGATGCTGTGAACATTGTTAAAATGACAACAAAAGTTTTAGTTTAGACTGTTAAATAAACCTTGTTGACAAAGCAGTGGCCGGCTTTGAGAGGACTAATTATAATTTTTAAAGTTCTGCAGTGGGGAAAATGCTATAAAACAGCATCACATGCCACAGAGACTTCTTTTGGAAAAAGAGGAGTCAATGAATGTAGCAAACTTCACCACTGCCTTATTGTTCTAAATTACCAGAGCCATCCCAATCCCAATGTTCAGCAACCAACGGTATCATTAGTCAGCAGCCGTCAACATTGAGGCAAGACCCTCCAGTAGCAAGTAGATTATGACTTGCTGAAGGCTCAGATGATGGTTAGCAATGATTTATCAACAAAGTAATTTTTAATTAAGACATGTACATTTTTAGATATAATGCTGTTGCACACTTAATAGACTATGGTATAGTGTAAACAACTTTTATATGCACTTGGGAAACAAAAAAAATCATTTCACTAGCTTTATTGTGATATTTGCCTTATTGCAGTGGTCTGGAAGTGAACCCTCACTATCTCCAAGCTATTCCTGTAAACACTGAAATCAGGCAGTCTAAGACCTCCAACATTACACTTCATTTTGAGATTGTTTGTCTCATCTAGATGCTTTGCACCTCCATATCAAGTTTTGAATCTCCTTGTCTCTACCTAAAATCTTCAACAATTTTGAGTGGATTGCAAAAATCTATACATCAGTTTGGGAAGAATTTAAAACTCAACAATAAATCTTTCAATCAGTAAATACGCTGTCCATTTGTATGTGTTTCAAGATTTTACTGAGAAGAGTTTTTAGTGTTTAATGTAGAATTCTGCTGTATATTTTGTTAGATTTAGACTCTTTTACTATCTTGCCATTACTATAGATGGAATTGTTTAATTATTTTAGGATTCTATTTTATTTATATCTCTACTAATGGGCATATTTGCTATATTACTTTGTTTTATAGTTGTTACTGTTTGATACAGGGTTTACAATATACTCCTTAAACCTACACAGTCTAGCTCCAAATAATGACAGTTTACTTCATGTATAGATTAATTACCTTACATCTGTAAGCCTCAATTCTTCACATTTTGTGCACATTTTACTCCCACATGTTTCATAATGCATGATAATTTTGCCACAGTATCTTTCAAAAGAGATTAAAAAGGAGAAAAATGTTGTAGTTTCCAATACGTTTGTTATTTCCAGTGGCTCTTTTTGACCCTTTATTTTTTGTGTGGAGCCAAATTACCTTTTGGTGTTGTCAAGGGCTTAGAGCTCCAGAGAACTGTGCCGCCAGGTGTTAAAGTAACAGATAAAAACAATAAAACAAATACAAATAACAGTCAGGTCTTCATCCCTCACGATAATAGTACAAGCAAGAAGAGAAATGCGAGAAAGTGTCAATTTCCTACCTCATTTTATTTTCTTCTATGGAATGGTGTTCCACTGAGGCTCTGGCGGATCAGCATAGATGCAGAGTTAAAAACAAAAAAAAAATTCCTGCTATTTTGTGGACGGGGTGGGGTAGGGGGAGGAGAAAAGGAAGTGTTTGGGGTGGAGAAAAACTGAGTAGCCAACTACAGTGGAGCAAAAAACTGAGTAGCAAATTAGAGTGGAGCAAAGTGTCTTCCAGGTCCCTCCCTCCCCCTCCCCCTCCCCCTCCCACTCCACCTCCCCCTCCCCCTTCCTCCCGGCCCTTCCCCCGCCACCGTTGATAAGAAGATCTAGACCGCGGAGCCTAAGGAGACCCTCAGCTGAAGGTTTCCATAAAGAAGGCACCAAAAGGAGGCACCTGGGTTAGGAACTCAGCTAATTTAAGAGCACGCTCTGCCGGGGGGCGGGGCTCAGTCCTGGTCTGCAGCTCCCTTCAGAGACTGAAATGCACTAGCTGTGCATTAAGCTAGGGAAAACTCATAATTGCCTATGGTCAGACTTGAAAAGAAATCACAGGTAGGTTTTTTACCAGGAGCTGGGCTTCTCGGGTATTATTTTCTTCTGCCTGAAGAATGTCCTTTAAGATGTATGTCTCTGCTGGTGATAAATTACTTCAACTTACAATTCTTTTATTGGTCTTCACTTGAAGGATGTTTTTACTGAGTCCGAAATTAGAGGTTAATAGATTTTCTTTTATACTTATAAAATAGTGCTCAACTATCATCTAGCTTGCATTGTCTCTGAAAAGAAGTCTGCTTTCATTCTTTGTCTCTCATTCAAATTTTGGTCTTTTTTCTATGGCTGCTCTTAAGAATCGTTTTCATTATCACTGATTTTCAGCTGCTATGTGATTTTGCTATGCCGAGGGATGATTTTCATTATACGTTTACTCCATTTTAGGTTCATGAAACTCTTTGGGGCTGTGGATTTACATTTTTAATCAAATTTGGAAAACTTTCAACTCCTATTTTTTGAAACTGTTTTCTGTACCACATCTTTCTTTCTGGAACTCCAATTTAGACTGCTTGATGTTGTACCGTGGTCCCTGATGCTATTTTTTTCCATCTGTTTTCTTTCTTTGCTTCATTTTGGATGGTTGCTATGTGTCCAAGTAAAATGACCTTTTCTTCTGCAGTGTCTAACTGCTATTCATCCCATGCAGTATATATACGTATTTCGGATATTGTATGTTCCATTTCTAGATTTTTCTGTTTGGGACATTTTTGCCTTCTCTTTCTCTCCCCATCATGCTTATTTTTCCTCCGCTTTTTAAAAGAATATGGAGTATAACGATAATAAAATTATTTTTCTTTTTTTTGAGATGAAGTCTCCCTTTGTCACCCAAGCTGGAGTGCAGTGGTGCAATCTCAGCTCACTGCAACCTCTGCCTCCCAGGTTCAAGCAATGCTCATGCCTCAGCCTCCTGGGTAGCCAGGAGTACAGGTGCCTGCCACTACACTCAGCTAATTTTTTGTATTTTTAGTAGAGATGAGGTTTCGCCATGTTGGCCAGGCTGGTCTCCAACTCTTGTCCTCAGGTGATCCGCATACCTTGGCCTCCCAAAGTGTTTGGATCACAGGCATGAGCCACTCCGCCCGGCCGAATAATTATTTTAACATTCTTCTTTGCTGGTTTTAAATATAATCTCTTTTATTTCTCAGTCAACTCCTATTGATTGATTTTTTTTTTCCTGGTTATGTTCCTCCTTCTTTAACCGCCTGGTAATATTTTCTCTGAATGCCAGGCATGATGAATTTTATGATTTTCGTCACAGGACCGTTGTATTTCTTTAAACACTGATTTTATTTTGACACTCAATTAAGTTGATTGAAATCAGGTGGACCCTTTCTGAGCTTTTCTTTAAGCTTTTTAAGTGCAGATCCAGAGAGCCTATTACCTAAAGCTAATTTAGTCCAACCACTCTTCACCAAATTCTGTCCAATGCCTCAGGTAAATTAAGTTGTGAGATTATCCTCTAGTCCCAATTCTGTGTGAACTCCAGCTTCTCATTTGTAATGATTATTTCCTCTGTCTTGTGTAGTTTTTCTCTCAGACATATGCATATCAATACTCAGTCAAAAACTCAGGAGACTACGCAGGTATTTAAAATTCTCTCTTTGTTCATCTCCCTGGTACCTCGTGGTCTGCCCTACCAATCTAGCTAGCTACAGTGATTTTCTCTGCTCTGAACTCAGTGTGAGATCAAGGTTGTTTGTGGTTTTCTCTCTGTAGTGTAGATGCCATGATACGGCTCATGTCAATTGTTATTCTCTTCCCAGGGCCGTGGTCCTATGCCACATGTTGTACAATATCTGAAAAACTTCTGCTTCATATATTTTGAACAGTTTTTTGGTTTTCTAAGATCAGAAGTTATATCAGGATCTTGTTATTCTGTCATACCTGGAGTGGAATGTTTAGAATTAACTTCTAACTAGTACATTGAAATTCTTATTACTAAAATGTTTTCTATAATTATATATGCAAATGTTATTGTTTCTGTTACTATTGCCACTTTCCTTCAGGGAAATCAGTTACAAATATGCTAACTTTTGGTATATTTTTGTGTATATTTCATATCTGTTTTTAGTTTTAACAATGTTTGCTTATTTGTATTTTCTCAGCTTTCTCATCCGCTTCCCTTTATGCTCTTTTGCATTTTTGTCCTCATATGTGCTGCTTTAAGAGCTTGAAGTTTTGTTATCACTTTTTCTTTTCTACTTCTCACTTCAGCTCTTCTAGCACATTGTATTTCACCTTCTTTTGTTCCATGCTATCAGCCTCGAGCTTTCATATCTCTATTCAAAAGATGTGTATTTTCTTTTTCTTTTTTTTGAGAAGGAGTTTCGCTCTTGTTACCCAGGCTGGAGTGCAATGGTGCGATCTCGGCTCACTGCAACCTCCGCCTCCTGGGTTCAGGCAATTCTCCTGCCTCAGCCTCCCGAGTAGCTGGGATTACAGGCACGCGCCACCATGCCCAGCTAATTTTTTGTATTTTTAGTAGAGACGGGGTTTCACCATGTTGACCAGAATGGTCTTGATCTCTCAACCTCGTGATCCACCCGTCTCGGCCTTTCAAAGTGCTGGGATTACAGGCTTGAGCCACCGCGCCCGGCCAAGATGTGTATTTTTTATTAACTTATTGAATTACAAAGCTATCAAAACATAGCAAAATATAAAATAAAATATATAAATAGTTGGGCACTATGTTTACTCAGTAGAAGCAGGCTTCTGATGAGTGTCCTACTTTTGCAAATTTCAGGTCTTTTATTCCTTTTTGCCAGGTATATGTGTGTGTATGTGTGTGTATTCACGTATGTGTATATATGTATATATGTAATTTTTAAATGACACTACTCATTTTTGAATGAATAAATCATCCGTTTGTTTGTAGGAATTTTTTATTAGAAAAGAACTGGTAGGAATTTCTACCTACAATGAAGGTACTTTGGATGCAAGAATGTGTATGCATGTGAATTATTTTTGTATTCTTGCCAACCAGCCAGAATTAACCATGGCCCACAAATCTGAGTTCCACTTTTTGACTCTGCTTTACCATCTAAATGATTTCAGCTAATATGACATACCAGATATTCTAATATGTCTGATAGATATTCTGATATATATGATATTCAGATAGGATATTCTGCTAGCATGGCATGTTAAACAGTTTAATAGTTTGGACAAACGTATTTCCTAGTTTTATCAGTAATAAAATTTGATTTATCTTTCTCAATACCTTCATTGTGTTGGGAGATGTTCAAAATTAAAATTACAGATGTTTAACAAACTTGGTGCTAGAAATCAACAATAAACATAATTAACTGACCAATAGTAAGTGTGAAGAAATAATATAGGGAAAATTTACTATGGGTTGATTATGATGTCTGAACATACAGAAGGCATTTCCTATAGAAAGCAAAAACCAAAACTGGAAGAAAACTTAAAAACAATCGAATCCATTGATTAATATTTAAATCTCTTCTATATCATTACTGTCAGATGTCGATCCAGGCTTCCTCTGGTGAAGTCTATTCCTGGTAAAGAGCTCTCAGGTTTATGAAGCTGCCCATTACGTCTTTGGACAACTTTCCTCTGACACTGACACAAACCAGCTGTCTTTGATGTTAAGTATCTCAATTATTCTCCAAAAAGCATATTATAAATATTTAAAATCTTTAGTTCACTTTGGAAAGGTCACCACTCCCAAGGTGGTGTCCGTGGTTAAGACTATTTCCTGATATCGTTTTGGCCAGAGGATATTTACATCTTTACACATGCCACTTACCAGAGAGTTGGGGAAGAAGAAGAAATATGCGTTAAAAATATGCTCAATGGATCTGGAGCACTAGATCTGGAGAAACTCATTTTTATATTTGTATTTCAAATAAAACCTCTACATTCCTTAGTCCTTTCAAATATATTTATTTAGAAAAACAAAATAAGTTGCCAATGATTACATTTTCTTTCTTCCATAGAATATGTCATTAGAGAATAAATATCTACATAGTCACATGGGTTTTTTTTTTTTTTTTGCTTGACTTAGTATATATGGTCTAAGTAAAACAGTAACAGATTACATACATGCTGGTTATATACATACATTTTATTTTGAAATAGAACCTGAAAATCTAAGATGTTAAATTAAACATAATTATGCCTAGAAATGGTTTTCTTTTGCTAAATAAATGGGTATTGAAGATTATGTGATGTTTACTCATTTTATTCCAACAATTTCAGATTATGAGAAAAAAATCAGAGCATTCATCATCTTCAAAAGATACAAATTTATCTTTGTATTAAAAGATAAATTTGTTTTTATATAAACATGGTTACCTGAACAAACTAAAAAAATTTACATTTGGTTTGAAATAGTTTATTTTACTGAACCATAATCTAGGTTTCAATGCACAAAATCGGAGCATATAATGATATTATTGTCATCCGATGATGGATTGGCCTTATCACAGTTAAAGGGATTCTCTGATGGTGTTATGTAGAATAGCAATGATTATGATAAGCAAAGAGCTTATGTATCTTCAGGGTCCTGCAAATTTATGCTCCCAGTGTTTTGCTATAGGAACAAG